AATTTATTTTTACACTTAAAAGTGCAAAGCACTAAAAATAAAATACAACCAAGGTAGGAGGTTTTCCTCAAAATGAACTCAAATACAGCAAAACTGTTGTACAAAAAAAAAGGTAAACAAACAGACTAATAAAAGTCTATGGGGCAAAAATCCCAAACAGAAAGACCTATGAGAAAACAAAACACAAAATCTATAGTAACAAAAACAAACAAACAAAAAAAAAAAACTATATAGTAACAAAAACAAACAAACAAAAAAAAAAAACTACTGGCTCAAACCAGAAATAGAGTTTCACAAACAAAGAAAAAAAAAAACTACTGGCTCAAACCAGAAATAGAGTTTCACAAACAAAGTAGTCTTGACTACCAAATGTCCTAAAGCAGCCACAACCAACAGTCCCCAACAAAGACAATCTAGTCAACCCAATGGCAAACTGCACCTAAAGCACAGCAGCCCTGACTGAAAGGTTGAGCTGGCTTTTATAAGCTCCCTCATGTGGTCTGGCTTCCTCATTAGCAGCTGCTGGTGAGTGGGTGATGCGTCCAAGGTGTGCTCCAGCCAATCATCTTTGGACAGGTAATCCTTGAAGGTCTATTGGCAATCCACCAGCAGAGGGAGGCAACAAACCAGCACCTGGAGCTGTGAACTTCTCAAATGTGAAGAAGCCTTTAAAGAAACTCAGGAGAAGCAGTACAGACCTGGGGCAGTAACACACTTCAGTACCGTCCCTCGTTGACCCCCCGGGCAAGGGCACTAGACAAATGCCTCCCTGCCTGCCTTCCCTAATGTGACGACTGACTACAGTCGGGAGAAAGAGCATCCCAAATGGGACTCTTCAATTTGGCTTAAAATATGGGACTGTTGGCAACCTTACAGTTTAGAAGGCAGTGGGTGCTGGTCTAATCTACTCAGATTGAGCCATCGGTCCTTGGTGCTAATGGTTAATCACAATGCTAATGTCTGAACTACTGTTACACTCTCTGGCTCCTCAGGAGTGGAGGAGGTAAATGGCTGGCTGACTGCTGCCAACTAGTGGTCGGAGGCTAAACTACAACATAAAAATGAACCGTTTGGAAGAAAGTTTACATTTTAAACCTTAATTTAAAAATGATACAGGGCTTTAGAGAGTCGAAACAGTATCAGGAAATGAAATATGGTGGTATTTCAGTGTATCAATATTGGTGACTGCATTTAAGTTCAAACTTCTACCAAGCTGTACTTTTGTAGCTTTGGTCACTTCATACTGTCTGCTGCTAGTCTGTTTATGCCCACCGTGCTTTTGTTTGTTTTGTACCTACTTTTTATGTTGCCTTAGGGCATAAATAGAGTATCATTCATCAAAACTTACATGACTGGGGGAAACACACTGAAAGACCCTAGCTGGGTTTTGAACCTGCAACCTTTTTGCTGTGACATGACAGCTTCAGCTTTTGACATGCTGCTCACCATCATCATTTTTTTTACATTTATTTTGGTGTGATTAGGTCTGAGAATTCAGGAATGTTTTCTGAATAGCCCTGAATCTTGAGACAGAAACTGAAGAAATTTAAACATGCATTTCTAGATTTATTAGGCATTGACCACTTTAAACAATGCAACAATTTCATATGATTTTCCAAAACAACAAGCCAACTAGCTTGTGCTTTTTCTGTGTTTCATATAAACAACTTCAACACATCTGCACTGGTGATATTTGTGCTGATTGAGAGCCAGTGATTGATTGCTTAGGTTGGAAAAGTTTCTTCTTTTGCTACAGAAGAAATGGTTTTTCAGCTCTTAGCAAAGATAAACTAAATATATTAGTGCAAATTATTACACATTATCTTAGCTATACATCTATCACCTAGCATGAGTATTTCAGACACCATGACTGAGCCATTATGTGTGCACAGTGCAGGTAATTGTTGTCGCAGCGTGTAAGAACTTACTGTTTTTAACAAATGTGTATTTATGATTAATTTATTTTACAAAGATAAGCACATTATGGTTCTGGTATATAATAATGTTGACTAAGAAATAAAGCCTAGCTTGAAATAAAGCACAGCTTGATCTTGTACGAGCTGCAAAGAGCTGGCACCTAAAACAATACATGAATGGGTTTAAAGTGGTTTTGTAACCTATTGGTGCGAAACATCTATCACTGCTTTCAGAATAGTTACAGCTTTGTATAAAATAAAAACCACTGGGCATTATTTGGTGGAAGTACTGTTATCAGCTAAAATCAGCAGTATTTGTTGATCATCCCAACAGAAGAAGCTGAACTCTGTTTATGTTGCCAACGTGTTTCACACATTTTTACTGTTTGTGAACCAACATGGCAACGTTAATGTCCTGGAAGGCGGAGAGGTGAGTGGTAGGTGGCCAAATAAAGCGTGTGGGGGGTTAGACCGGGGCAGAGCTGAGAGAAACAACAGCACTGTGTATCAGGGAGCTGGCTGAGAGCTGCAGACTATTGCATCTGTATTGATTGGGCTCCAGCCCTTTCCATTTTCCATGAACTCCTCTGAGTTGCTTGGAGTGGGAGTGATGGGGGAGATTTGCTTGATCTTTATGATATTTCTTTAAACATGATGCTGTCGTTATGCCTCCCCGGGGAACGCGCCAGCCATTTCCAGTATATCAAAGGCTCTCTGTCTCTCGCTATTTTCCACACACCTTATTTATAACCCCACTAAACAGCCCCAACACACTGCCACCGTTCTCTTAAGTGTTTTCAACCCTTTTGCGAAATGAACGTTTTTCAAGTGCAGCTGTGAGAAGCAGCCAGCCTCAGACTTACTTACCAGCTTGGATCTGTTGAGCCCATCCAATAAAGAGAGTAATCAAAAGGAACATTAATTACTTGAACATTAGCTAATAATAGTGATTCAGTATTAATACTTTTTTACTGTTTATAGTTACTTCAGTACATTTTTTTTCAAACTAGTTCTATATACTAGCTACGCTTTTGCTATAATGTACTTGGAAAAAAATTACTAAAAGTAAAAATACCTTAACCCAAAATGACTTTGGTAAAAATAAATTTCACTGATGAAATTTCACAAAATTCAGGAAAGTAAAAGTACTTTTACACACTCTCTAAGAAATAAAGTGTTGACTTTACTGAATCCAACTGGTTTCACTAAACCAGGCTGAGCAAATTGAGGCAACATATACTGTATATAAATATATTGCTTCAAATTTATTTTACTAAGTTTAGTGGAACCAGTTGACATGACTTGAGTAAATTCAACACTTGATTTTTTAGAGCACATAAACAACCTTTCATGATGAGTTCAGACGGGTTTAATTTTGTAACGAGTAACTAGGTGTTACATTTTAAAGTAAAGAAGTATAAGTAGCATTTTTAGGTTTTAAATATAACGAAATAAAAGTAAAAGTAATGATTTAAAAAAATTGTAAAATTACAAATCCTCAAAAATATTACCTGAGTACTGGAATGAAATAAATGTACTTAGTTACTATAAACCTCTTCTATTTAGCTCATTTTAGTTTTTAGCTATAATCCTGTAATTTAATATAATTTAATTATAATTTGATTTTATAATTTTAATTTGTAGCAACTGTTTTGTTTATTTGAGAATTTAGCTACTTTCTTATTTTAGCTTTAGTGCTAGTCTTAGCTTTTACATTACAATATGATTAGAAACAGTTTTGGTAGACTTTATGAATTGTTTTACTAGGTTTTGGCTACATTTTCCCTTTTTGGATTTTAGCTAAAGGTTTGCTAAATGGGTGTTCTGAACTGTAATTTCATTGTTCTCTGAACAATGACAATAAAGTTTTACCTTACCTTACCTTAATATAGCTTTGAGCTATGTACATTTTTGCAAATTTTACTTTTCAAGCAACAGTTTTGCAAATTTAACTTTTATCCTTTAATTTTCTTCTGTTTATAGTTTGTAGCTACAGTTCTGTTTATTATAGATTTTAACTATAAATGTACTAAATTTAACTTGAATTTGCAAACTTGTTCACATTGGTTTGTAGCTAACGATTTGCTTATTTTAGCTTTTAGCCACGAATGTGCTCATTTTAGCTTTAAACTACAGTTTTGCTAGTTTTAGCCTCTCTTGCTTGTTTTACCTTTTCAAATCAGGAAAAAATGATTTCTTCATCAAATTTAAACGAAGTGTTTCATCACTCAGCGTTTATTTCTCCACTTTGAAATCTGATGTTTGGGCGGTCCTGGACATTCAGACAACTGATGTGATTTTACTGTAAAACAGAGGACATCCAAACGACAGTTCACTGTCCGACTCTCAAACAGGCCTGAGGTAGCAGGAGCTGTGAGCGGGCGCCGTCCACATACCCACTAGTGCAGGTGCCCTCTCCATGGGGCCAGGTGGTGGCTAATTTGCTTTCTTTGTCCCTCCTAATGAATCGTTAATTGGTTTGCATCACCCGTCGAGCTGAGGACAGCAGGTGCTGAGTGCTGCTGGTGATAGAGGCCACTGGCGAGTGTCCTCGCTCACACCAGCACCTACATTTAACAGGCCAAATGTCACCTCGCAACACGCAACAGCTTGGCTCTTAAACAGGGAAATTATTGCCATAGTTTTAAGCCTTCTGTAGATGTCATCACCCACAATCCTAGGAGTGCTGTATTGTTGCACAAACTGTGAACTCCAGTGTTTCTCTGTTCATAACAGATAAAGAGGGTTCTTTGCATACTGTTAACCTCTGCTTTTATTCATAACTTAATAGAAAATTATTTGTTTTTATCTGTTCTTTTTTCTTCTATAAAAACAGTGAATATATTGATCATATTATAACTGGAATTGTGAGTTAAATGTACCAAAAAATCTGTATCAAAGTGTAATTTCTGAATTGCATCATGAACTTGGTTGAAAAGATGAAAGAATTTTGGCCCCATGTGCTGTACTCTTTACAGATCAGCTTATCTTCTGTGTACTTAACGCTTCATGTTACCAATACTGTAGTCTATACCAGGGTTATGCAAGTCCATGTTTATGTTAATGGCATCTTCTTCCCTGCAGGTGGTTGCTCTGAACAAGCGCAGTAAGGAGGCAGAGTCTGCGTTCCTGGGAATCTACAAACAGCTTATCGAGGCCCCAGGTGAGTCTCCTACTAAGACCAGAGATGTGCATCTCCACAAACACAACCACCACTATCACACACTCTATCATTACTTCTACATATAAAGTCCTAGCTTTCCATGAAGTTTCATGCCAGAGTTTGAGACTATTTTCACATCATAAAAAGGCGGTGGTTAAAGCTGTTTTGGTCAAACCTTGTAAATGATGTTTTGCACAATCTCATGCAGTGTGTGATGTGTTTGCTGAAGTACATGTTAAGGTTAATTCTCAGCAACTACCACCCAAAGTGTAGCTCAGTATCTGTAGCATACCTGAGTTATAGCAACTTTTGTGTTTACTAGGGTCGATTAGCCATTTTGGTTTGGGGTGACTCAGTTCATTATTAGCTTTCTTAGCATTATTAGCTCATTATTTGTAAACTTGGTGGAGTGATGTGTATTTGTGTGTTTCCATTGGTCAGTTCATGGTCATCTTGAAACGAGGTGACTCCAAAAGTTATTCAGCTGTTTGTGTACATCCCATAATTATTTTCTGAGAATTTCATTAAAAGTTTTTCTTTTGTTGCTGAAGGAATCTTTTTTCAGCTGTTAGCAAAGATAATCAAAAAGTACTATTGCAAATTAATACACATTATCTTAGCTCTACCCATCTATCGCTTAGGATAGGTGATGGACGGGTTAAATTCTTGAGCTATTTTGCTAATAGACAAAGTTAACTCAAATAGATAATGTACAGTTTAAATGTAAGCTGGGGCACAGTCTCAACTAAAACCACACAAAACCTTGGTCAATAGCTATAATTGCCATCCATGGTTCAGATAATGGAGTAAGGAGTCATAATTTCAGGAATTGAGGTTTGAAGATGAGAGTTTCAGCACCCCAGGTAAGTTTTTTTCAGATACAGGCTGAGTTGCGAATAACTTCAAGTAGGCCAGGTTCTTATGAAGCAATGGATGTTTAACCCCTTCCAGGCAATATCAAAATTCCTCTATTGCCATCTTTATTGCCCCAAGCTCACAATTTGTTTGTTTGTAGTGAGAAGAAGTTTGCTAAGTCTGATTACTGGGATAGTACTGTACTGCACACACGTCCATGTTGGTGGCATCTACTTCCAGGATGAATTGTCACAAAAGGGCTGAGGTTAGGAGTAGTTTCTACTTGTTGAAGGCTTCTTCTGCCTCAGGAGACCAGACCAAAAGTTGGTGTATAAAAGTAAGTCATGTCAGGGTTTGTAAAAGTTACCAAACTTCAGAAAGCATTGTAGTTGCAGTGTTACTGTTGTGTGTGGAAAAAGTAGGCCAGTTGGATACCAACTTGATCTTGACTACATTAGCTTCACCTGCCTGCTCTTAATTATGTATCCTAGAAATGAAACAAAGGTAACACGTAACTCCCATTGTTTTCTGCTTCCACCAACAGTTGATTTGATTTGGAGTTGTTGGAAGACCCTGTTCAGGGTTCTATTATCTAGAAAGACAAAAACACATTAGGAAAATCTCAGAGGACATCACTGACTAGGTCTTTAACATAGCAGGAACATTGGTTTGTCCAAAAGGCATTAGAAGGTATTCAAAGTACTCCATGGGAGTTGTGCAGGCTGTCTTCCACTTACCCCTCTCTGACCAAGTGGTAAGCATTTTTTCAATCTAATTTTGGAAAAAACTTTGCCAAGAGTTGTCCACTGATTCAAATTTTAGGAGTGGTTAGCCTAATAAATGTAAAACTTTGGGTTTTTAAAATCAGTTAGAGGAAGCAAGCATGTTGGAAGTTGTTGACTTCAACAGTTAATTACTTGTAGCTGTGCAGCCAATGACTACATACTGAAAGTTTAATTAAATTCATCCATTGTTTTATGAGATACCTTGCGAATGGCCAAAGACACACAAAAAACATCCTCTTTCAGGTGTTGTGGTTGTCGATAATATATTTTTTTTCTGTTGAAGATCTCTCTGGAAATCAGTGTTCTGTTAAACATATTGTTGAGTGGAGTCTCTCTTTCAGCATGCATTAACCAAAGCCTAAATTTTCTGCCATGGGTATGGTGACAAATATAAGACGACATAAGACTATAGCCTGCACCTCTTATCTATTTTTCAAAGTCTCAGTTCTCAGTGTGGTTTCCAAACCTCTGCATGAGGCCACTTCAGAAGCCAGCACTGGTCCTGGAGTGTCAGCAAGCTGAGGAGCGAATGTATCCTGAAGGAGCTCTGCTGTTGATTGTGGAGGGCCAATTAAAATCCCAGCTCATGTCTGGCTTTGTGTAGAACCTGATGAGGCAAACAGGGTCACATGCAGTAAGTCGGGGTGAAGGAAGTGCAGATTATGTGTTTATTCAGTTGTTATTTCAGTTCCAGGGCACATCTAGCAGCGTATTGCTCTCTGTTGCAGGAGATGGCAGCAGACCGTGGCCCAATCTCAGTGTAGATCAGAGAACCACTCGTGGCAGGAGGAGAGAATGCTGTTTACACATTCAATGAATACAAGATAAAAGTCTGTGTCAGACAAACAGCCACGGAGGCAACTGACTTTTAAAGGTCTCCATTTTTCCTTGAAGTCTTCCTGCTTGATATTGCACCACCCACCCACACAACCCCCCACACACATGCACACACTCAAACTTTGAATGAAGTTATTTCCTGGATAAGTAAAACTGTTCTTTGAAGTTGTATTCAGTTTGATTTTCTAACCTATACCTTTTACCCAATTCCAGCCCAACAGATTTTTTTTATGCCCCTATGCCAAAAGTGAAAAGTCAATAATGTTTTTGCCCATGTTTGTGAGTGTGTATTTGTTTATGTTAGCAAAATATCTCACAAACCACTGGACAATTTTTAATGAAACTCATGAAGTAATCATTAGCTATGTGTCTACAACTGCTTAACCTTTGGAGTAAACCTAATTCAAGGCGACCACCATAAGAAATGTGTTTTCTTACAGACAAAAAATGATGTGCTAACAGCTGCAATTCAAACACATTTGTCTTTTTTCTTGAACTGTTTGAGTAAACACTGTTAGAAAAATATCCATGAGCCAACAGATATAATTTAATGAAAGTAACAAAAAGCAATCACTGGATGTCTGTCGACAACTGATTACTTTTTTATGAGAACCTAATTCAGGCTACAACCTGGTCAGATTCTCAAGTATTGAGCTACTGATAAGAACTGGTCTTTGAACTCTGAATAAATGCCAAACTCAAACAGTTTTACAGATTTTATTGTTAATGTGCAAGGCTTTGATGTGGTTCTGGATCAGGACATCAAGTTGGACTGGAACTTCTGGACACACAAAAAAACTATTAACTACTGAGTCACTGTGAACTTTGACTGAGAGAAAATACAAATCCACTGACCTGGTGTTCGTGTGGGTGTTCCATACACAAACACTGATTTGAGTTGAAAGGGTCCGAGCCCGTGTGATGTCATCACCGTTCAGAATTGTTTGGGGTTTGGGTCCAACAGACAAGAACTGGGTCCAGGGATAAGCAAGGATCAAAATCAAAAGAATTACCAGACTTAGTAGAGCAGGCTTGAGTCATGGGTCCGTAAACTGAGCAGAGGTYGAGAGCCGTGTAATCTGATGAAGTGTCGCGCCAAGGAGGGAAAATCCAAGAGCCGAAAAACCAGAAAGTGAAGCAGGGGTCGTTACCGGGCAAGCAGATGACAGGAGGAATCCGACAAGGGCAAAGGCAGAGATCATGAAACCGAGGAGCATGAGCAGGATCAGGGAACCAGGACTAACGAGGGACAAGGTACAAGATTGCGGGAAGTTCATAGCAGAGCACATGAAAATCTAGCAGACACTGAGAGTTGATGACAAGGCTTTATACTGAGGACAACAGGTGAGTTGCATGAAGCTGATTGCATGAAGCTGATTGCATGAAGGCGGGGCTATGGTAAACTGGAGATGGGAGGGGAAAAACGGAGCAAAAACAGGCTGAAGCTGTGAACAAGGGATTTTAAAAAATACATGACATGACTAAGAAAATAAAACAAAAGACTGGTGGTAAAGCTGTGGCATGAAATATAACCAGGTTAAGGATCCACAGGGCAGGCAAGGTGGATTCATAACAGAGCCCCCCATTAAGGTCCGGCTCCTGACGGACCCCTGGGTTGACTAGGGTTGTGTCTRTGGAAGTCCTTAATCAAGTCTTTATCCAGAATGTGCCGTGCAGGAACCCAGGAACGCTCTTCTGGCCTGTATCCCTCCCAATGGACCAGGTACTGAAGTCCACGTCCCCATCGGCGAGATTTCAGGAGTTGTCTCACGGTGTATGCAGGGCCTCCATCGATGAGTTGGGCGGGATGAGGGGGCCTGGAGGAGAGCGTAAACCTTGACTGGACCAGGGGCTTGACCCGGGACACATGAAAAGTAGGATGAACCCTCATGGAG